GGCGTTACGCCTGGGGATTGGTTTTGGGGGCTGGAAGAAAATCGGGGGCGGTTTTGGGGGTAAAAGGAACGTTGAAAAGGTCTTGGGGGGGCAGAGCATGTTTTGGGTTGTTTTGGGGGCTGGAAGCAATTTTCCCTTTTTTTTAATTTCTCTTTCTTGATTTGGCTTCTAAGCTCTAACCCAAGAAATATAGATTCAAGTAGCAAACTTGGGGCCATCGAGCGTCCGTGATCGTAACGTTAACTGAGTCATCGTTGGGGTCTTAGCTCGCTTATGATTGTTTGCGTACGTAGCACTGGGCTGGGCCTTTGTTGGCCATGCATGAGCGTCATCAACCATGAAGAGGGGAAAGGAGCTAAACACGTGTCGACTCGTGACTTAATTTGTAATCAAAACCCCTACATTATTTGCTCGCTAGACGCTTCATGAGCAGATAAATATAACTGGCATTACCATCAAAAAGGAAAAAGAAAAGAAGGATGAAAATTGAACACAACGAGTTCCTTCGGAGTCTCACTAAAATGTCAAAAAAGTGCTCGATTGATCGATGGTAGAATAGCCGTATAGGATTCTCTGAATTGTAAGCAGAGGACACTTATCAAGTCTCAACACGGAGCTTAAGTGGCTCAAGTTATCGTGACAAGCACTTGAGGGACTCTAATCATATGCACTATTTCTCATAGCTCAGGTTGTAGCTAGCAAACTAGGACTAGAGTTCTAATATCAATCAAGTAGTGGGACTAAAAAAGAGAAAAAAAAAAGACTCTTTGTGCGAAGTGTCTTTTTTTTTGTGATTGTGGCGCCAAAACATTAATTAATCATTGGTTGTTTTGCCCAATATTGTTTGGTGTCGAATCTCTAGTTCAAAGTGATAGAATAAAAAGTTCAAAGTGATTTTGAGGATAAATTTCTCAAAATCACCTAGAAGTTTGACCATTTTGAGATAAACATCAAAAGGTTTGGAAATTTCACGTGACCCTCAAAATTTTTCCAGATAACCCAAAAAAGTTGGGGTATCCGAAAACACGTTAGCGAAAAAAGGACTCTTTTACTCTCACGGGGTTTACTTGATAAAAGAACAATTTCCTCTTTCTCTTATGCCCTGTTTGGATGGAGGGTAGAGAGGGGGAGGAGAAGAGAAATGTAGCTTTTACCTTGTTTGAGAGTTTTTTTAAGGAGGGTAGAGAGGATGAAGGAAGGGAAACGGAGGGTAAAATTGTTTGGTTTTCTTTCCCCCCGATTTGGGCGGTAGAGGAGGGTAAATGAGGGTAAATGGGTGTAATGACATTTTTACCCCCATCAAAACAAATAAAAGGGCTGATGTGTTATTAGTATAAAATTATTTATGTAAATTTACATATATTTACTTCATTTCACCTTCATTCACCTTACTCAACTCCCAAACAACATATTACAATTCTCTTCCCTTCCCTTTCCTTCCCTTCCCTTTGTTTACCTTTCCTTCCCTTCCCTTAGTAAACTCCCAAACACACCATTAAGGATAAAAAAATAAAAAATTATTAGTCAATGGGTCTATCTGCAACGATAAAACTAGCGATATAGCAGGGGTTCTATCATCAACTAATCCTAAAAACAAAAAAAAACTTGGAACAAACTAGGTTTGTACATACTTGTAACAAAATTTGAAAAATCTCTCTTTAATTAGGGGCTTAATTAAGCATTTCTCCATGAGCTAATAAACCTTAAAACTTAAACTAGGTTGAAGCTCGCAACAATTGTTAATAATTGACATATTTAGGGGCTCAAGAGTTTCTTGAAGAACTTAAAAACCTTGAACTTGAAACTAGGTTGGAAACTCGTAACAAAAATTACAAATTTTCGTTTTTAGGGGCTCAAGAATTTCTTGAAGAGCTTAATGACCTTAATTAAACCTCCAACCATTTCTCCTACACTATCCACTCATGCAAATCCCAACACGAAGAGCTGGAAGCAGTTGAGGACTATGCCTCACGGTTAAGGAACAAGCTCCTCCTATTAATGTTGATATAAATTCCCCACTCTCATTCAAGTCTTTTTCTTTAAAAGCAAAAAAAAAAAAAAAAAGACAAATGGCTTTTGGGAGGACATCCATTCCGTCTCCTAGGCTCAAGCGTGAATGATTCCCTCACGTAATTAGACGAGGGAGAAAAGGGAAATCACCTGCAGCTTGAAAAACTTTCTAGATACTACCAATGGTTCTCTTATATCAAAAGTAAAAGGTGTAAAATAAATTTGCAAGATATCGATACTAAAATGTTTTGATCAAGATAAAGACTGCAAAAAAGGAAAAAGAGTATGCGATGTTGGTTGCTTTATTGGGGCTGTTTGTTTGCTAAAAAAAAATGAGAAAACCACCCGTCACGTCAGATTTCAAGAAATCCCCCCTTGCCACGTACGATTTTGGTTTCAACCGATTTTCAAATCACATGTTTGTTTCGTTTGGTGATTTAAAGAAATGAGGGTGCCACATATATAGGATGCCACGTCAGATTTTTGAGAAAAGTGTTTTCACACCAAAAACATCTGAAAACACTTGGAAATGTCGCTTCAATGAATTTTTAATTACTAAAAGCACTGTTAAAACAGTGACTGTGAATAAAACATATTATTTAATTACTGAAAACACTGTTACTATTACGGTTGATTTCCATTTCCTTTTTTTTATGTTCAAACAAACACAAGAAACGGAAATCGAAACATTGTTACTATTGCGGCTGGATTTGATTCTTATGTGACGTGACGGTGACGTAACAGTGATTTCATTGCGAAACAAACAAAAAAATGCAGGAAATGTCTTGAAATCTCTTGAAATGAGTTGAAATGTGAGTTTTCCATTTCCGATTTTTTTCGGAAAACAACCAAACAGCCCCATACTCGAAAACATTACTGAAATTTTGAAATGGGGTTAATTGCAGATAAAGCCCCTATACTATTGCTCAATTGCGAATTGACAACTCGTAGCTCTATTAATTGTTGCGAATAGGCCCCAGGAGTGAAGTTTACATTTGACTGTATGACATTATTCTATTACTATATAAATATCACGAAAGTAGCCATGAAAGAGCCCTAATAAGTTAGTAAGCATGACGGTAATATGGAGAATTCTCCTGGAAAAATTAATTTCCTTTCGAGCTCGGTCACCGAACAAACTGTCAGTAGCTAGCTAGTATGAGCATAGAAGGATTACAATTAATTTCAATTTTCACCCACCACAGAATATGTAAACCTTAACTTTCTCCACCCCATCATTACCCACTTGCCCACTTAATTTCCTCTCATTCTAAGTATCTTGCTTTTCTAGTTGGAATTATTCTAGTGGACCCCTCTCAATTCTTTCTCTAGCACTAAAATATTCCATGAACATCGTCCTCATAAGAACCATGGACCAAATATTTCAAACCAGAACCTAACTCAAAACATACAACCCTAAGGTGGGCCCCCGTACGTGATACACAGTATTATCTCCGCTTTGATTTAGGAAATGGTTTTCCTCGAAACAACTAATAGATAGATATGTCAATGGCTCTACGCTTGACTGAGACCGCCATGTTCTCTCAAAGTCATCACTCATCCAACCACATCTCATATCCTCTACTCCTAAAGCTGCAGGTGTCTTTCAAATAATTGAGCGGACCCTCTCTGTCAACATTCTCCAAGTAACAAGCAGCCTCCCCCCTTTTGTAGAGTAATATTTCTACGCCTAAATTACGAAGCTGTGAATATTAATTGTTGATAGTTTATAACTTCATAAATTAGAACTTGGGGCTCACCAACACTGTATATTTTTTTTAAATCTGCATTAAATTCGTGACCGTTGGTGTTTGAATCTAAGTCATTCGGGTACCCTATCAAACGGTCCATTACATAATACTAGAACTTAAAAAGTGTGATAAACGTTGAAAACTGTAATTTTACACACTGTTATAGTCATTTTAGTGCTAAAAATTAATCTCCAATCGAGGGCAGACTAGTGTCCCTTATTACGTGTAATCGAGCCAACACTTCAAAATAACCCAAGACCCAGCTCGGACGACTCGACACGCTGACATCTCGCGAGGACTACTCAAATGGTGTTACACGTCGACCCCCGGCCGAGTCGACTCCCTGATTGACCTACTCGACCGTCCATTCGGCAGGCATCTTGCGAATGCGACTCAAAGGGCGGTACTTCTCGACCACTGGACGAGTAGAAAGGCGACGAAATACCTCGAGCCTCGAGCCCCCTCCAGCGCACTGACAACTAATCACCTTGCGATAAATATCATTAAATGCATTATAGACACCTTATTCCTCTACCCCAATAGTCTTTATGACACATTGGACCATGTCGGCACTGCACATCCACAATCACTTCGCACTAAATACCAAAGTGATCTCTCCTCCACTCGTCGGCCGACACCTGTAAAGCAGAGCCTGATGTGGCAGTCATCCCACACTCAGTCGAAGTTACCATTCCACCATTCTATCACCACTCCACTATAAATAGGGGTGTTATTTTCAATAATAGGGTAAGATCTTTACCTCTACTCATTGTGTTTAAGAACTACTGCAGTTCATTTTACTTTCCTCACTCAAGTAATTAAATCACTGACTTGATCATCGGATGAACAACCGGGGAATCCAACCCTGCCATCTTATGATTTGCTACTTGTGCAAAGAAGAACAACCTACTTCAGAACTGCACATTTGGAGAGTTCAAGAACCTCCGTCAACTTAATTACTTCTTTCATTTAACTATTTGATATCAGCCATCAACACACACCAACAGGTGTAAGCTCTCGGATTTCAATGAAATACCTTCAATTACAAAACCAGACTGTCTTCCAAGTCTGACAAAATTTATAGTAACACCATAACAAGTTCAGCCCGAATAAAATACCAATACCAATATCAAGAAAATCAAAACTCAAAAGATAGTCAAACAACATCACTCTTATCACTGTCTTCGTCTTGTTTTATACTTTAATTTTATTCCTAGTATATATACAACCAAGATCCTCCTCTCTTCACAACTAAATTCCTCTCTCTTTCTCTCTCTCGTATTAACTACCCAAAATGTCTCTCTTAACACAATCCTCTCCAAAACACTGCGCAAACAAAGGATTCCACCTAAAAACCCTCCTCAACAGAAAACTCCTCTACACACTCTCAACCCTCATCTCCTCCCTCCTCTTCGTCATCCTCCTCATCTACCTCATCCTCCACCCATCAAAACCCCAGTTCTACCTCCAAAACACAACTGTCTCCAACCTCGCTCTCTCCTCCGTCCAAGCCACCATACTCTCCAAGAACCCCAACACCAAGGTCGGCGTCTACTATGACGACCTCCGTGCCTACGCCGTCTACAAAGGCCAGCAGATAACCGCAGGCTCTGCGCTGCCGCCCTTCTTTCAGGAGCACGAGGACTCGAACGTGCTGTCGGCGTCGATGTATGGGGCTGGGATGCCGGTCACCGCGAGCGCCGGGTACGAAGTTGGAAGGGATCAAGAAGCCGGGAGGGCGATGGCCTTGACGGTGAGGATTGACGGGAAGTTGAGGTGGAAGGTTGGGAGCTGGGTTTCGGGGAAGTATCGGTTTAACGTGGACTGCGTGGCGATCATCGGGATTGGATCTTCGGTAGGAGGAGGAGGCTGGAGCTCGGTGCAGGGGACGGAGTGCTCGACCAGTGTTTGAGAGTGTGGATCATGGTGACGTACGGTTCATTTTGGTGGTTGTAAAGCAGTGGTGTATTGCTGACATGACACACACTTAAAAATTACTAGTGAATGTAGCCGATCTAGATGCTTGTCATGTCAATGAAACAATTAGCACATCAACTCCCATTTACTCTAATTAGTTTGAGTAAACATGAGTTAATTTGTTCGTCTTATATGCTTATTGATGTGTTGCTGACGTGACATGCATTTAATCATATCAGCTTTGATTTTAATGTACTGACTATATATATGAATTGTGTTTCCCTTTAATACTGGTAGGATGTTGGTGACTAGATACTGATTCAGAATTCTACAATCAAGTTTTCCATATATTTAGATCGTAACTACATAATAAGATAGAATGTGAGGAACACAACCATCTCCTTTTTGTACTGTTTTTATTTTAAGTAAGAAAAGATAGAAAGGCATTCGAATGATGTTGTTTTTGGGTGGGGATGAGGGTGGATGATGTTGGTGCAAAGGGACGGATAACAGGATGAGGATTAGGATATTCTGAAATTGGAATCTTTGCAGCTAGATTTTTAATTCTACCTTAATTTCTTACGTTATTATTATTATAATTATCCTTTTTATCTTATCTAATTACTTCGTCATATGATATCTTTGTCTCATACTTGTAAAACTGAAGGCAAAATTACTAATAGGCAAATATATGCTTTTTTCAATAAGAATAATACATGTTTGTGAGTATGTCAAGCTCATAAGTAAATTTGTTCTAAAGAAAAGAGTACACCCACACAGCCTTCTCGTTAACCTGACACTTAATCTTGTTTAAAAATAAATAAATTAAACTCACAAAAAATCAGATCAAAAAATAAGTAGAGTTTCCCTTGCCTTGATTAAAAAATGAGGGTTTTACGAGCATACCCCGCACATATTTCATATTTGCAATTTTATATATACCCTCATATATTTCATATTCGCAACCCCTTAACCCTTGGTATCTGTAAAATATTAATATTTGAGAAATAAATTCACAAATATGAAATATTTGAGGAGTACATATGCACAAACCATTTAAGAAATAAATAAACTAAACTCAGCCAAAATCAGATTTAAAAACATAATATTTTCTTCGCCCGGACTTGAACCGGAGACCTTCAGTGTGTTAGACTGACGTGATAACCAACTACACCACGAAACCGTGCGGTCATTTCGATAACTCATAGACATTAAACACTCATTTGTTCACATGATGAATATCAATCAATATTCGTAGGGAAGTTATGAGAAACTAGGTGAGAGAAGAAAAGGGAAGGTGGTTCTATCTCAATTGATTACACCTCAACTTGAGGGGTAACAAATTTTATACTAGTAAGGGGTAAACTAAGTGGAACTAGGGTGAATAACTTCACCTGATAAATGTTCCTAAACAAGGTGAATTACTTCCCTTCTCCCTTTCGCTCAATCCAAACAAGCACTTTTCGAGTAGGGGTGCAAACAGATTAGACATGACTTGAATTTGATGGCTATCATGTCTGTATCTATTTACTAATCAGGAATATGTATATTGAAACGAGTATGTCTCGATAAAGAAAATTCATAAACATAACTGCTAAAATTGAATACTGATACGGATACAAAACACATACAAGAAAGACAGATAATATTAGACAGAATATATATGATACAAGAGAGTTCACTAATATGTTTGTTATATCCGAAAAAGCTAAGATTAGATCTCCTGATCATCAAAACCTCAAATGTGTTAATCTAAGAATTAAAATAATTGCAATTGCATAACTAACATATATTTAAATTTTGAATAAGAATCCGGGTATTTTACTACATATCTATATTAATAATCATATCCTATTGGACATAGATATTAATAATGCGTCCTAACCGGCGATTCTGATGTGATGTACATACTAATTCTTTCCACTTCTACCTCAAAAAGGCTGGACCCCCAAACACCCACAAGTGCTTGTTTGAAGTCTATATAATTAAGTAGCCAATTGGTCTCAAACCACACCCCAAAAGCTAACGAATTTGCTTGTATATCTCCATCACGTTACTCTCGAGTAGTCTACGGCATAGAGCAGATATTTGGAGTAGAACCCAACCACACAAAAAAGCTTAAGTGTTTTCAGCCACTTGGAGACAATGAGCCATTTTCTACTGGATAGAGATAGCAGGACCATGTAAAATTATTTTGTAGATATGATTGCTGAAAACAAAGGGGAAGACTAATCATAGGCATGGGGTCGAACAAAAAAGTATTTATTATTAGAGGAAAAAGAGGCGTAATTTCTCCTCTTCGGAAAATTGGTGGCGTGTCTTAACTCCTAAGTTGTTTGTTTACATCTCCCAACAAATTTTTTTTTTCCCCTGGTGTGATGAAATGCAGCCAAATGGTAGAGAAAGAGACGGTCCATTAAAGATGAGCAAGTAATGGTTTGTTGAGACTGCCTTAGGATTTAAGGAAACTATATTCCGCCGACCAAATAATAAGGGTTTCGATATATTGCGTTAATGATACATCGAAGAGATGTTTATTTTTAAATTAGTGAATAGATATTGAATCTACTAATATAACGGTTCACGTGTTCCTTTTTTTGTGTAGCAGAGGCTCAAAAAACATTAGGTGGTGAGAGTTATCATATGTTCACAATGTATGTTGACTGTTACTATTTGTAGTCATGGTAATATAATAATGAGGCTCAAAAAAATTTGCTACTTCATGAGCAAATTTCCATGTGAAATTAATGTATATTAGCACTCCGGGAAAATTCAATTTTATCGTCAATTACTTTAAATGGCTTTTTGCTAGAATTAATCAGCCGTCTAAACTTACTTTTAAGTCAGAAAATTTTCCCCAATTTTGTTATAATACTTAGTTAGTTATTAAATACCAAAAAAGGAAAAAAATATGTTTAAGACTGACCAAGAGAAGTGATAAAATATACATATGATTAGCGCTCCCAAGCATCATTAATTTGTACCGGCCTTCACCAATCTCTCACCAACTACGCTTAACTAATTTTCTGAAAGTAATAATTGTCCCCCTAACTACTCCATAACTACAGAATTACCATTGCACCCCAGCCCCACCGACCCTGGGCTCGGGCCCCACGCGGTGACTTCTCGAACGTCCTGCCATCATGGGCTCTAGCGCCGGCGGCAAATCTGCCTTCCACCTCGGCCTCCGCGCTCTCTACGGGCCTAAACTGCTGGCCCGGCCGTTGAGGATGACCGCGGGCTGAAATCGCTGAACAGCCCTACTTCGGTGCGGGGGAGGCGGAGACGAGAAGTCGAGAGCGAGGTCCGGGGGGGACAAGATCCCTGTGCTGCATGCGCACGGTGCGATGACTGAAGTGTGGAGCTGGCCTGCCGGCGAGGGGCCGGTAGGGGCCCACGAGTACTAGCGACTCCGATACGAGGGTTTCGTGGAGGAGTGGGGGAGGCTGCCGAGGGTCCTGGTGAGGGGGCTCGGCGGGGCCGACCCGATGAGATCGACCGGCAGAGGGAGTTCGTGAGGCGCGATGGAGGGGCGAGGGGGCGAGGGTGGAGCCCTCGGTGGAGGAGGGCGGGTTCCACGGGGCCGAGATGGTGACGACGAGGGGTAGGGCGGCGGCGTTGGTTGAGACTGCAGGCGGGTTTATTTATTGTGGTTGAT